AACACACAGCAAGCAGCACACTGTGGCAACATCACATTTGCACTCGCTGTCACCCTCAACCATGGTGACAGTGTGCAATGCTTTGTTTCTGTGCACCTTCCCAGTTCTACCCACTTTGATCCCAAAGCACAATCAGGAAGAGATGGCTTCACACCCAAGGAGCACAGCTATGGTGTGTGCTTTGCACGGGTCTAGGGCTGACCCCCTTGGCGGTGGGGATGCCTGGGAGGTGCAGTGCAGTTCAGTGGTCAGCTCGGGGGTCCTGGCAGAGGAGGGAGCACGGCACAAAACTGGGGGATCCAGGACCTGCACCCCTCTCTTCCCTCGGACACAAGCACAACTTGACACTGAGGGTCTTGTGCTGAGGTTAATTCACTGCCCAGCTCTCATTACCTCAGGGAAGGCATTTTACCTCTGTGTCTTATTTGTTTTGTTGTTTTTTCCCCTCCATCTGCACAGCAACGGAGACCCCATTCCTACCTCAGAAGACAGCCACTCCCCAGTCCCCCCAGATGTGTGTTCAGAGACCCAGCAGCAAACAGATGTGGGCAGGAGGGGAAGAAAACTGCCCCAAGGAGAGAAACATTGAGAAAGAGACCGAGGAGCTCCCAGACCTACAAAGCATCACATCAGCAACACAGCCCCCCCCCCAGGAGTGAGGCAGCCCCCTGCCAAGCCCACAGACCCCAAACCCAAACACAGCAAAATCCCAGCCCCTCGTTCTCCCCCAGCCATCCCCAGGCCTGCTGCATGCATGCTAGACACATCCAAAGTGGTTTTATTTTTAAACCCTGCATTTTGCACACTCGCAGCGGCAGCCCCCAAGCAGGTCCGACCTCCCAGCTGGGCCCCAGAGATGGTCCAAGGGGGTTAAACCAGGCACAGGTCTGCCTGTCCCCGCTCAAGGATTTCACCCTTCATCTTTCAGATGAAGTCTCCTACCTCACCTCTGCTCCCAGCCCTAAAACCAGCACAAGGATCCTCCTGTCCTACCCATCCCGGCTGGGGGATGCTGTGCTCCCCACGCAGGACCATCACGGGCAGTGGGGCTCAGCTCAGCCAGGGGACCTTCTAAACCAGGGCCACCACACAACAAGCAACAGCGATACCCCACGCCCCCCGTCCGGCACAGGCAGGGACATGGCCTGGCTACGACAGCCAGAACCGAGACATAAAAAGCACTTTGCGCCACAGTCACGTTATCCTCTCATCCCTCCCCCTTTATCCCCTTTGGAGCTTCTTAACTTCAGAAACCTTCCTCCAGAGGAGTGTTGGAGTGACAGAAAACATTTTCCAAGCTTAATATCAGTTCCAGATCCCCGTCCGGCACAGGCAGGGACATGGCCTGGCTACGACAGCCAGAACCGAGACATAAAAAGCACTTTGCGCCACAGTCACGTTATCCTCTCATCCCTCCCCCTTTATCCCCTTTGGAGCTTCTTAACTTCAGAAACCTTCCTCCAGAGGAGTGTTGGAGTGACAGAAAACATTTTCCAAGCTTAATATCAGTTCCAGATGTTCACAGCCATTTCAGTTTGTACCTCACCCTGTAAAACACATTTCTCCCTCTCCTTCTCTCAAGTGCAGCGCCTGCTTCGGCCATGACATAATGCGCTGGCGGGCTCGGCCGCACACACACACGCGCGCTCGCTCGCACCCTCTTCGAGAGCCCCATGTTCAAACAAAGAGCATCACTCAACTACAAAGCCGTCACACACATGGAGTTATGAGTAATTTCCACAAGTTTTAATAAACAGTTTGGGATGTAATTGCTCGCCGTCTTCTCCGCTGGCTCCCGAGCGCAGAGTCGCTCGCTCTCCCCACGCTCTGGTGTTGAAAGCGTGGTTTGTTTCACACACAAGTTCACCTCCTATTAGCCTCAGATGGTCCAAGGGCTGTGTTTTTCTAAGTACCAGTAATAAGCCTCTTGAAAAAGCACATACAGCCGGGTGCAGCCGACCCACACGAGCTCCCGGCTCCTTCCACCCCATCCCGCAGCATCACCACCCCGCATGGAGCCTGGCCAGGAGCACAGGGGATGCACATTAGACCAGCCTCAAAACTCCCTCCTGCCTCTGCTCCAAGAAGAAAAGGAGCAAATATTTTCTGGCTGAACGGAAAGGCTACATCTTCCAGTTGCAAAGCAAGGGGGAGGCCAAGGAGTGAGAAACTGAAGGTTTTTAGGGGCCAGGAGGGAGGCAGGAGCCAGGTACCACCCATGGGGCTGACAAGCAGGTTAGCACAGCTCTAACCCCAGCCAGTGCCAGGAATCCCAGTAGGAAATGTCTACAAATGCAATAAAACAGACAAAAACCCTGTACAAGCACAAATAACACTCACATTTAAACTCAAGAGATGCAAGGGATGAATGGCAGCATCCTCAAGCGCTCAAACCTTGCAGGATGCTCCCAGCCCAGTGCTGCCATGGTCTGAAAATCCCCACAGTGCACCTCCCAGTGACGGGAGCAACCCATCCTACCTACCAGTGGCCGGGAGACCAATGAGGAAGGAAAATCTGACAATATCCATCAAAACCCATCAAAATGTCATATCCCACACTCCCCTCCCAAAGCTTCCCCCTTCTGGGGTTGACTTATTGTTTTTGTGGATGCTGTTCAGATGTGCTGGAGATGTGCTGCAGCATGGCGGGGGGTGTGGGGCGGGGGGTGATGGTGGCGAGGGGATACCCATGGTGGGATTTTTGGCCAGGTGAAGCACGGTATGAAGAGAAGCCTTTGAGAGCTGTAGCAGTCAGCATCTCTGCAAACCTACACAAGGTATTTGCAAGAATCAAGTCATCTGGCATTAGGGGCCTGTAGGGTAAGAAAGGAATGAAGGCTGGAATGTTGTTTGGTTATAAACAATGTAGAAAAAAAAAAAAAAAGAGGTTTAGGATTGGCTTTTTGTTTAATTGTTAATGGGGTCGTTCCATCCCGAACAGTCCCTCAGAGCAGGGAAAGGGGAGAGCAGCTCCCCACAATGAATTCAATCACCTGTCAAACACATGGCAGTCATAAAAGGAAAATAATAATAATAATCTGTATTTCCTATTCTGGCTGCCAGGCAAAGATCCAAGCACTTCAAAGGAGAAACTCCATGTTTCCCTGGTCTGGCCTCACCTGACCGATGTGTGAGCAATCTGGAATCCCCATCCAAAACAAAACCCCTCCTTTGGTGGCTTGTTTTCTTTCTCTGTTACTGGAGGGTGCCCCTCCAAGATAAAGAACATGCCTCCTTCCACACCAGGAAACTCAAAACATAACCCAGGGGCCACGGCCGCGTCGGGCAGCTCTGGAAGCGATGCTGGCAAGGTGGAGGAAAAAGCTCCTGTGGGACTGGACTGGTGTATGAGCCAGGAACCAGAGCTCCTTCTCGGGGGGTCTGCACAAACAGACCCCAGGCCCCCCAGGACGTGGGGCTCTGGCTCCCGCCAGCAGGAAAAGCCCAGTTCTTGGAGCAAAAAAATTTGGGATATGGTGGCGAGAGAGGCTGCAGAAGCAGATTAGATGGGCCTGAGATGAACAGAGAGGGAGAAAACTTCCCCGTGGCTGTGAGCTGGAGCAGTTTGCTCTGTGGCAGCTCATGGCAGAGGAGGGCTTGGCTCAGAGGCTCTTACAAAATAATCAAGGAGAAGAAAGAAGCCACCACCACAAGCTGAGAAAGCTTCTGACCAAGACCTAAGTACTGTGTGCAACTCCCGATTGGGCTCTGAATGATCTTCCTGAGATTGCCTTCCCAACAGGGAAACACAAACATCTCACCAGGACGTCCAGGAAGCCTCTGCAAGCCTGCAAGAGCGCAGCCAGCCCCTCCAGCCCTGTCCCCACCTGCAGCCCAGTCCCTTGTCCTTACAGCCCCAACACACACTCCTCACGCATGCTGACCAGGCTCCACCTTAAAGCAGAAGAGGTTTTTAATGACCCAAAGAGGTGGCTGTTGCAGAACCTTGCTCTGATGACGGGTGGAAACCCTCTTCATCACCTGGGGGTGGCTGAAATTCAGTAGTGACAGTGTCTGGGGGAAGGGGCCCTTCCCACAAAGGTAAATCTCTGCTTTGGTCAACAACACCAGCTGTCCCAACATGACACCTGAGCTCCTTTAATGAACTACATCCAAAATCCTTGAGCAAAAAGCAGTAGGAGGTTTTGCCTGGCTTTCCAGGCAGCAGTAGCATCACTCAAGGTCTCAAGTGATGTTTTCTAAAATACATCATTGATTCACCCAAATCAAACCCCATTCTTCTCACCCCTCCGTCCTGCCCAGCAGCTCCTGGAGCATGGCTGGAATTGCTGACAAAGCCTTTACAATGCACAGAGCACTCAGTCCAAGCATGAGCTGGGAACCAAACTCCAACCCATGCAGTTCCAGGTTCCCCTGGAGAAGTTTTGTGCTACTTAAATGATCTCCCTAAATACTGCAAACTTCAATAAGCGTGCAAGGTAACTTAGAGTGTCCTTTCGAAGGCTGGCATGTCATGCAGTACTCACTGGAATGGACCAGTAAAGCCCTTGAGCTGTGGAGGGCTGACCCTCCTCCCACAGCATTTCATACTCATCAGATCAAACAGGCACTGCAGTCACAAACTCCATCACGCAGCTCTTGTATAATGTCCTGGGTCCAGCTGGGATAGGGTTAATTCTTCACAGAAGCTGGGAGTTGGGCATAGCCGGATATTCGATACCATGCTGACGTCATGCCCGGGATATAAGGGGAAGCTAGCCGGGAGAGGGGTCTCTTCCCAAAAAGGGAAAATCATTTCCTTCTGCCGTGCTGTGTTTTTGTATTTCCCCTTCCCCTCAAATGTCAGCAGAAGCCTTCAGAAAACTTGCCTGAATGGAATGGGTTCGATACCTCATATAACACCTCAGCTCTATGCACCATTCTCTACTAAAGCAGCAGCTCCCAGCCAGGCGGCGGGGCAGAGGATGCATCGTTGCACACCCTCTGCATCACCGTGCATCCTCTGCTCCAAGAGAGCTTGCCCTCTGCAGCCGACCCACCTGTGTAAAGGTCCGTGTCCGTGTATTCATCCACCTTCTTGTGCTGCAGGACGTAGTCAGACACCTTGGTCCCGATGGCAGGCTGCACGTCCAGCCACTCCAGAGAGACCACGGTGCTGGAGGGCTCCACGTTGGGGGAGAGCCGCAGGCTGGGCAGAAGACAGCAAAGAAATCAGGTAAGACACCAGCTCCTTTTCTGGGGAGGAATCCACCTCTACAAGCAGCACAACCCCAGGCAGGGCTCACGCTCATCCCCAGGGACATGCACACAGACCCACAGCGCAGGGGGCACAAGGGCAGAGCAGGGAGGTGAGCACAGAACTTCCAGGTGAAGGTGAGTTGGGTCCAGCCTACCACAATGTGTGCCTTTTCCTCTCCCTGCTCCTGGAAAAACCCAGGTCCTGGAAAAGCCCAGGTCATGCAACCACAGCCACATAACCCCAAATATTCCATCTAAAGGAGCCTTCATCTCCTGGGAGAACTGCCGAACTTCAGCAGCCCCATAGGAAACCAAGGATCAGCTGCCCAGGAGCAAAAGAGAAGGGGAGGATCCAGTTTAACCTTCCTGCAACCCAGTGGGGTTGAGTCTACAGGAGGGGAGGGTCTGGTCTCCATTGCCAATGATTAAAGGCGAGGGAGGGTGGGAGGGAGAGAGGAGCTGGTGTGGCTGTGGATTTACCCAGCTGCAAATGAGCAAACCCCTGATGGGTGTGAGCAAAAGCTAAAGCAGGGCAGCTGTGTATGAGCTCCTGCTGGGTCAGGGACCATGCGGGGAGAGGTGAAGGCAGAGCAGCTTGCTGCTCCTGGCCGTGATAGTGCAAAGGTGTCTGCTCTCCTTGCACCAGGGTAAATGACAACACAAAGTACGGGGCTATGGAGAGTCTGGCTCCAAACGTATGAGTCTGTTTGTTGATCTCAGGATGGGAACTGAATCCCCTCTGAGGATATTGGCTCACTAAGAAGGTGTTCTGCTCCTTATGGCTCGCTGGAGCCAGTCTTCCTGCTTTCTCAGCTAATTCCCCATCAGTTTGCTCCAGATTTGCTCTTGCTCTGACAAGCCACAATGAATTGCACTGTAATTCCATTTCTTTCACCATTTGAAATCCCATTCTACAAGCCCTGCTAATCAGGTGATGAAAATCTATAAGGAAAACTTCCAGGGCCACAGCCAGAGCCAGGATATCCTAAAGGCATCAGTCACACAGCGAGGAGCGCTGGCCTGTGGCCCTGGGGCTCGAAAGCCGGGGGAAGGAGGTGGCCGTGGGGTGGAAAAGGGCTGGTGCCGGGGGGCCGTGACCCACGGGAGGGGCTCGCACCGATACGTACACAGGCGGAGGGAGAGGGCTGCAGTTCGGGAGTCCATTCTCATCGAAGGCGTTGAGGTCGCACCTGCACCAGTCTTCGATAACATCGCCTTTCCCTGAGCACCAGTATGAGCTCATCAGGGCTCCCTTGAAAGCCTGACGTGAGAACAAAAAGCATAAACACATGTGTTAAAGACCCGGTAAAATCCGGCCAGCGGCTCAGCCGCGTGGTGCTGAGCATCAGGGGAACAGGAAATATGGGGGTTCCTCCCCAGCTCTGCCACTGACTCCCTGCATGGCCCTGGGCAAGTCCCTTCGCTGCCCTGTGCTTTATGGAGTGATGCTGGTTCACCCCTGGGTGCTGCTTTGGTGTGGGGACAGGGGGTGGCTGCACGATGCCTCGGACAGAGGGGATCTCCTGTGATGAGCTGCCTGAAGAAATGCAAATGTAAGCCCCTTTGTGGCACCAGACACCATACGCAGGGCACCTCTACACTGCTGTTGCACACAGGGAAAATCCTCCATCCCACAGCCATTTCTGTCCCCACTAAGAATAAAGTAATTCCTACATCCCCAACCTCCCAGACCACTTCCAACCTTCTCGTAGGTTTGCTATTCATACAAGCTGCTCTCCTGCAAGCAAACTGCTGCTTTATTTACTTGTATAAGGAATACTGACAAGCAAAAAAGCAGTAACTGGAAGAAGAAAAACAAAACAAAACAAAACAAAACAAAAACAAACAAACAAAAAAACCCCCTGCAAAATACTTGCAGGGTGTTTCCCAGCTGAGCAGTTTCCCCTCCACAGGCTGTCCTCAGCCTGACCAGGAGCCCACCCGACCGCTCCTAACAATGCCAAGGGATCCCCAGAATAACAGCTGCCCCTCTGCTGGGATCTGAGGCCAAAACACTTTGACTGAATTCCCAAAGCCCTCCAGGTCTCACTGCACGGTGATTTCCCTGTGTCCATCCTGCCGCTCGAGGCGGTCGGTGTCGGTTCCCGTGCTGCAGGATGGGGCATCGCTTGCTCCATACCCTGCCATAGTTCAGACTGCGTGGATTTTCTGTGGTTCCCCTGCTACCCTTTGCCTGTCGTGCCTAATTAAACCTCCAGCTTGGGAAACTGCATCCCTCCCTGCACACACACACGGACAACATCCAGCCCGACCCTGTGAAGCCACAACGCCCTGCTACAATAATCATAACACCAAAACACCATCCACTAAAACAAACCTCTTTGTAATACTTTTGACCTTTTAAAAGGCACATTTCAGGGCCGAAACGCCTTCACAGGTCCTCATCCGCGTCCAGCAGCCTCGCTGCCAGCCTCCGCGCAGCCCAGCTCTATTCCGCCCATTCAAAGCCGCCTGCGGATGCCTGGCCCCGGCGATACCGCCCGCGCTGCCAGGTTACGCCTTCAAGATAAAACCGTGCCCTTTGAGGAGGACAGGGATGGCTCCAGTGGCTGCGGCATTTAGCAGAAAACTCAAGGAAAAGCGCCATCCCGGGGAGGTTTGTGAAAAGAGGAGGTATAAATAGAGCCTGACGTCAGGGCTCCCATTGTCTGGGGTTTTGTCGGTCTCCCCAAACACCCCCGAGCACCTTTAACGAGGCGCCTCGAGGCTCTTGCTGCTGAAACATTTTCTGCTTCCAGGCATTTACAAAATGGGACTGGTCCAGAAGGAAAAGGAAGAAAAAAAACATGTGAAAGAGAGAAAATGTGATGTTATTTTATTCTTTATAATGTAATGGAAGCGCTGGGCTGGAAAAGGACATCGCAAAGTAACTGGAGAGCAGGGAGGACAGTGAGGAGCTCATCCAACACATGGATAAATGGGTGCAGGTACATTTCTGTAGAGAGCAGTGGGTCTGTGCATGATAGAAACAAACTGATGCACAGAGATGGATGGGGAAGTGTGTGCTCTCCCTAGGAAGCAGGATGAATACGTATGTCGGGGGGTCCACATGTGCGCAGACAGCTGTTGGGTGATCCCTGGAAGAGCTGTACCATCACACTGACAGCACTGCTCTGCTGTCCCCCCATCCTCAGTCCCTACTGCTCCCTCCCTGGCCCCAGGGAAGCAATCCCACCCGCCCCATCCATGCCCTTTAGCCAAATCCAATAGTCAAATCCTTCCTTCTATTTTCTTTTTTTTTTTCCCGTGGGTAAGCGCAAGGCTGGATGAGCAATCCCCTCTGCCCTGCCTGCCCAGCCTGGCACACGGTTTAATTAGATCCTGCGGGTACCCAGCCGTCATCTGCCTTGTGTCAACCTTCACACAAACGAGGTTAGCTAATCAATGCATCCTTCCATTGCACTCATTAAGCCGAGGGCACCTACGCGCGATAACTGGGTTACCCCGAGCACGGCCGGGCCCCGGTGCCAGCTGCTGCCTCCGTCCCATTTCCAGCAGCGGCTGGCATCAGGGATGGACTGGGGTGGCTGGGCAGCTGGCACTCACCTTCCCTGGCTTTCCAGTGGGATTTCTAGCCAGGGGTTTCCAGGATTTTCCTATCAGTGCTGGGGATTGCATGTCAAAAGGTGGGGAAATGGCAAGAGCGAACTGATGAGGGTGATAAGACTGTGCAGAAAGAAGGGATGAAGCTCCCCACAAGAAGTTCATAATTTCAGGAGGCTCTGTGCCTTCCATGGGGACACACAGCTGCTCTGCAGAAACTTCAGGACACACGGAGGGTCTCCAGGAGCTTTCAGGACTCTCTGGTCCTCCCAGCCCTGGAGCCCAGTACAGCTTTTGCTGTAGTTCACCCCCAGCCCACCCTTCCTCCCCTCGCCTTCCCCAGCCTGCTCCAGGCTCCAGCTGCAGTGAGAGGATGCTCTCGGGCCCTGGAAGGGAGCAATGTGGAAGTCACCTTCCCCCGCACAGGCGACAGCTTTACCTAGCCCAGCCCAAAGGCACACTGCAGCACATGCTCCTCCACAGCCAGCAACTGCATGAAAACTTCTCCTTCCCTTTCCCCTTCTGACAGCATAGCCTGGGGGGTACAGGGCTGCTCACACAAACCCAGGGGAACAGCAGCTGCCACCCACACCTGGAGCCTAACAGCACAGGATGACCAAGAGCAACGGACAAAGGGTGCAGCAAAGGTGCTGAGTCCCATCCCATGGGCAGCTGCTGCCTTTGGGAGCGCTGCGGGGAGAATACGCAGGGACCCCCCTGCTCTGCGGGGCTGAGGACCTGGTGATGCATCCTCTGCCCTCCTGCCTTGGAGAGGACACCTCCACATCCATCCTTCCCTGCTGCCATGCTCGGAAACATGCAGCAAACGCTCTCCTCCCTGCCAGGAGACAGCACGTACAACACGACCATCTCCAGCACGACATCTCCGCATCCGATGCTTCACCATGGTGGTCACGCCAAGCTACCGAGCTGGGAAAACCCAATGGGCTCTACGAGTGTGAAGGGCTTCCCAGGAGCAGCCCTGCCTGCTGGGGGTGGCCGAGCGGACCCCAATGTGCTGTCTGGCGCTTGCCAACCCCTCCCCAGGATCTCGACGCCCCTCTGTGCCCTAAGACAATTTTATCTTTCATTTAAGAGTATCCAAATTGTATTGTTTCCCTGTGAGTCAGCCCATTTAGTTTCTGTCCTTCAGTGCCAGAGGGGAAATTTATGAGATGAGAAACTGGCTCGAAACGTTTATTTTCTAGATGACGAGTCATGCCATTAGATATATAGTATTATGAATCATAGGAACAGCATCTAATTTGCTCTTAAAGATATAATAGGTCTGACTTCTCCACACCCATACACACACATATATTGGATTGATAGTTCCCCCATAGGATGGCTAGTTCATTTGTTTTGACATGAGCAAGACTTACAGGACCATAAAGTCCCATCTTACCATAAGTTAAGCCTATTCATAAAAAAAATATTAAGGAAACGAATGATCAGCTAAGCACATTTATCCTACACATACGGATCTTTCTCCTGTTGTTATTTGTGCTCAGGGGGAGGCCATTTGGCCCCGTTTTATAGCTCAGACGCCATGCAACAGAATATAGAAGAACATTTCCTTTGTCCTCTGTTAGACCTGGCTGATGGAGAGAGAAGCACTAAGTTATTTCTGACCATGGGTTTTCTGTTGACATCCCCGGAGAGGTAAATTATAGGACATGAAGGAACCTTTCAGATCAGCATTTGCAGCACTCAGCACGCAGCACAGGGGCTGGTGTTTCCAGATGGGGTACTGGAAAGGGCATGTGTTGGCTGCTTATCTGTGAACATCTGGTCTTCTCCGTGGCTGACAGGGACATGAAAATCTGTCTCAATTGTTTCTTTGAGCCTAGCTTTCTTTGTGGTTGGTATGCACACCTCAGTTTCCGGAAAAAATTAAAAAGGAGATGCAAGGAAATTTAAAAAATAGTCACAAACAAGCATGCAGGCTGGACACAGATACGCTAGAGATATCAGAGATGACCTAAAAACTGGCAGTTTGGTATATATGGGTTTTGCACCAGTTTCTCTGGTCTTTGCTTGTTTGTTTTTCCTTTTCTAAATGTGGAAGGAAGGGAAGAGTGGAAGAAGGCTGGGTCATGCCAGCAGACAGGCTCAGCCTCATGTCCAGGGACACAGCAGCCAACGGAGACCCTCTGTCCCTTCCCGTCTGCAGGATGGAGACGGTCCCTGCCACCACCACCACCTTCCTCCGGTTGCAGGGAGGTGCCACCAGAGGAGGCAAACCCACCACCAAATCCAATTGCCTTGCGATGCCATCCCATACAGTGCTCAGCACAACTGGGCCACTGACCGGAGCTCCTGGACACTGCCGTGCTCCAAGCAGTCTGCAACCATACTGACTGTCCCTCAAGGGAAAGCAGACTATGGGATGCAGGCTCCAGCAGGGATTTCACATTCCGAACAGGATGCTACCATGATGATAGGAAAAGCTTTCCATGCCCTTACAATAATGTTCAGTGGCATTCACAGGAGACAAATGCTGCTCCTTAGTCCAGACATCCCTGGGAGGAGGAGGGGAAAAAAAAAAAAAAAAGAAAGAGGAGGAGGAAAACTAAGGATTTCCCAGGCCAGAGACTCTTTCCAGGATCATGCAGTTCGCGTCTGAAAGTCTGCTCCAGGTTCACAGCAAAGGAGGATGAAGTTTCCCTACTGCTGTTGGCAGGTGATCTCATCTTGTGCTGCTCACACCCTCCCTGCCTCCGGCTG